GGGAGTAAATGACGACTGCTATGTTCATTATTACATCCAACAACAGAACACCTCAATCGCTTAGGAGTCATTCTTGTCTACATCTGCTCCAGCAGAAGGCGGACTGATGACAATCACTCAGTGCGGGTCTAAGGTAAGACACCAGTCCAGTCTGTTCTGAGACGCTACTGTCAATCAAACAATCATGGGGGGGCCTAGGTCTGTGTGATGTCACACAGACAAGAAGCTGAGAATGGCTTGAGTTGAGAAAGGGGTAATGATTTTAGTAGATTTTAAAAAAAAACACTGGGTGGATTTTTATCATTATAGGGTGGTTGTGTACACACACTGCCTACACACATTTCAGTTCAAACAACTTGTAAAAGTGCATGTCGCATCCAATGATCCCTTGAAGGTACCAAAGGTCAAAGTAAGTCTAGAAATTATAAAGAAGATGTAATAAATACATGTAATACAAGATGAAATACATCACTCTGGGAAGGGTTACAAAGCTATTTCAAAGGCACTTGGACTACAAAGAACCATAGTGAGATCCATTATCCCCAAATGGAAAAAAAAAAAACTGGCACAGTGTCAAACCTTCCAAGAAGTGGTTGACCTTCCAAAACTCCACCAAGAGCATATAGCGTGGACTCATCCAGGAAGTCACAAAGTCCCAAGGATGGCACTGAAGGAACTATGCAGACCTCTCTTGCATCAGTCAAGGTCACTGTCCATGACTCCGCTGTCTGAAAGACACTGAAACACAAAAATGACATTCATGTAATAGTGGCGAGGTGAAACCCTAACCCAGAAGAACTTTAATGCTCGACTGAATTGTGCCGAAACATACCTTGATAATCCTCAAACTTCTTGGGGAATGTTTTGTGGACTGATGAGTTGAAAGTGGAACTGTTTGGAAGACAATAATAAGTTTAATAACTGTTGATTCTAGAGACTCTGCAGTCCTCGTGTTGTTAGAACTTAAAGTGGCATTTGATACAGTAGATCAAAGAATCGTGTGCGCATGTCTTGAGAATTCAACGAGTGGCTCTTCAGTGGTTTAAGTCCTGTTTGTCAATTAGATATTTTACAGTCAATCTTGGTCAGGTTTTATAGAGCTCAGCTCTTCTTACCTGTGGGGTCCCCCAAGGGTTTATTCTTGGCCAACTTTTGTTTTCCCTTTATATGCTCCCAAATGGGATCTATTCTTTAGAAACATGAAAGAATTATACCTTAGTATACCAATGACATGCAGATTTATCTAATATTTAAAAAAAATACTTCAATAATAGGAATAATTTAATTCCTTTTTGATCTTGTCTAAATTCTGGATGTCCTTACATTTCCTAAGGTTCAATGAAAACAAAACAGGCATCATTATGTCTGGGCTAAAGTTGCACCCAAGCTTTGGAACTATTTACTTTTTCATGTTGGAGCAGCTCCAACTTCTGTATATCCACTTTTAAAACATATGTGTTGTCTTCGGATTTTAATTGTACATAGCATAAGCCGACAGTTTTTTTTTACATGTATGATTTTATTATATCAATGTATGTGTTTACAGACTTTCTCAGGTCGCTGAACACATCAGTGGTCATTGTTGCTCATGTTGCAGGACGTCGTCAGCTCTCCACTGAAAACGAGACGCTATAAAAAACTTTATTTCATATAGTGCCTTTAAAGGAAGCTTCTCAAAGCACTGTACAAAGTAACATCCTTTACAATAAAAACTAATTTAAATACACAAACCAGCAGAAAATAAAATTGCACACATACTAAATGCAGCCCAAATACATTTTAAGATAAGATTTAAAAATTTGGGCCTCGTGAATCGCAATTGGAAGTAAACTTTTTAACTGTGTTTTTGCAGATGGGGGCCAAACATCTAAAAAGAATAAAAATGACTGTGATTCTTCATTTTCCTTTAAAAATCCTCCATTACAGAGTCATCAATAGTTATTGAGTGTTGCAGAGCTGAGAAGCATAACTTTAGTCATCACTTTTTATACAGAAAATTGTTAGTCATCCAATTCACTTATATTAACAACTGTGTAAGAATAAGTGTAAAACCCACATTATTATAGATAGAAATGTCTGAGTGTGCAACCGAGACACAATAGCCTTTGATTCTAGTATTTTATTTGCTTACTAACATTCACAATTGTTCATCCATAGTAGGCTACTATGTAGATCGTGGTAATTTTAATCATGCGCAATATCTTTAATATAAACATTTTACAAAATATAATACATAATTATTATTTAATATAGACGGCTAAATTCTATATATTGTGGCACTACATTATAATGTTTCGGAATAAAATAAATTTGGTTTAACAAACATATAATTCTATTGTGACTCCAATCAAACGTGTAGAAAGAAGCATGTTCTCAGCAGTGCTGAGGGTAATGCATTACAAGTAACGCGAGTTATGTAATCAGATTACTTTTTCAAGTAACTAGTAATGTAATGTATTACTTTTAATTGACTGACTGACAGCTTTCCTGTCCTGTGTTGAGAGAAATTGGGAGTGAAGTGCGAAAAGTAACGCAAAAGTAACATAATGCTTTTCATAAAAAGTGACGCAATTAGTTACTTTCTTATGGAGTAACGCATTATTTCAATGCATTACTTTTAAAAGTAAATTTCCCAGCACTGGTTCTTAACATGTCCAAAGGTGGAAAAAAAGAAAGATTATCGTATTTCTGAGGAGGTATTTAGACTTTAATGAAATGAAGCCAAACCTGGTATACAGAATGCCCCAAAAACATATTTACAAGCCAGAGACAGCCAATTAAAGGGAGTTAGAAAGATCATTCAGTACAAACCAGTTAGTGAAAGTCCTGCTGGTATGCTACAGCTGTTCATTTGAAAGAGTAGAAAAGAACGAGGCTCAGGGAAGAGATGAGTAAATACAGGGACAGTCGAGGAAGGCGGAAAAATTTCATCTGCAGCCGTCACCACAATAAACGCCGTAATTTATAGTCATGAATAAATTCTAAACTGCAAAGTGACTGCTGCTCAAGCTGCAGGAAGAGAAGTGTATTCACATCAGAGGAAATAGAGACACATGTACATATCAACAAACATATATATTACACTGCAGTCAGAAAGAGGTACTGCTGCTCATCATAGACAGGGAATATTATTGGACAACGGGCCTCATTCGTGAACCACAAGCAGAATTGTGGAAATTATCTGTAAAACCGTTCTTATGTAGGGCCTTTAAGTGACAGTTTCAAGAAGAATAGTTTTACTTTTGAAACTCTTGCATGATGTGACTGTTTACTAAAGAATAGTTTCATCCGCATAAACTCTCACACGGTGCAACATTTAAGAATAAAAATGTTCTGTTGCATGTGATACGTGGTACAACAATTTACACAAGAACAGTTTAACTTTCATAAACTGTTGCATGTGAATGCTTTTACTTGCATAAATGCGCATGGTGCGACAGTTTATGCAAAAATAAATTTTAAACTGTCATGTGGTACAATAGTTTAAATAAGAACAGTTTAAGCAATAAAACTTCACTCCATTTATTTTCCAAATGCAGAGCATCCATTGCTGAGACACTGATGCAGTGCTACATTTCCCCAAATCTGATGAAGAAACAAACTCATCCTAATCTTGGACGGCCTGAGGGGGAGTTCTCTTTCAATAACACAATAAATGTCATGATTCATGTAAAGCTTGTATGTGCTATTATGTACTCATCACTATAATCATATTATCATCATGTAGTGACTCATAAACCCCTAAAACAATAGTTTAGTCTAAGTCAAGCTCTAAACCGTACCTTTCGGAATGGATTATGACATTTTCCTCAAAACGCTTTAAAACACGAGATCAGAAAGTATAGAAGGAAGCAGAAAAGATCCTTCACTCACCTCCGCAGGAGATGTCACGGACATCAAGGCCAAAGAATGAAGGCAAGAGAGAAGAATAAAAAGAGAAATAAAAACTGAAAGAAAGAAAGATTCGAGAAATGTATTAATTATGGTTGCAGCCAGCACATAGGAAAATGCTCAACATCCATTTCAGAACAAAAAATGGGAGACATTAAGGAAACATTTTCAGTAGAGTGTAGCAGCAACTGAGATATAATCGGTCTTACCTTCTCCTCTAGATCTTTAATCTGTCTCCTCTGAATGTCAGTCTTGTCCTCCAGGTCTCTGATCCTCTGCGTTGAGAGAAACACACGTCACAGATTGTTTATTATGTCATTGCTGCAAACAGGTTTGAAATCATTGATTACGGTACAGTACAATTACAGCGCTTATTAATATTAAATCTCATTTATAAATACAGTCTAAGACCACCAGTTAAATCCCCAGAAGATTAACATACAGTAAATAGCATAGAAATGTGACATTTAAATAGTATGTGTTTTACGTTATATCATATTTGATGCATCAGGCTTTTTGGCTCATTGTATGACAGTGAGATATCGAGCTCAGACTCCAGAAGGAAAAAACATTTTCATTTATTCAGAGCATTGTTATTTTATTATAATTTTTTGTTAATATTTTTAATTCTATTTTATTTTTATATTTTCTTATTTCAGGTTAAAGTTTTAGTCACTTTTATTATTATTGTTATTATTATTATATATTTTTTTAACTAGTTAACATTTATTTTTATTCCAAGTAAGGTTTTTATGGTTTTAGTTTTAGTTAACAGTAACAATTCAGAGGCGCAAACGGAGCAAAAATATGCAATTTGGTGCAGATATTTTAATTTATACAACCAAAAGTAAGATGAAATACTGATAGCTTGTAATGTAAATCAATGATTTATATATATATATATATATATATACACCATTTACATAAAATGTATATAAATATCAGTTTTCACTCTTTATCTTCTTATCTTCTTCTGTCTTAGTAAGTTGATACATAATGCTTAGTTTTAACATCTATAGCTTTTAATGTGGGGGCAAAATATATAATGTGATGAAATACAATGATGATTGAGAGATGAACAAATAAATGTTCCTCAAAAGCATGTAGTATCATATTTGAGCCAAGCCATTTGTCACGTGCTTCAGTGTTGGAGGAAACACATTACAAGTAATGCGAGTTACATAACCAGATTACTTTTTCCAAGTAAATAGTAAAGTAACACACAAGTTTGTTTTGAAAACTTTGATTTCCCATGTTGAGAGAAATTATTTTTTTTTATATTAAAAACAAATAAGCAAGCTCAGCCCAGATGAGAAAAAGTAAAGCAAGAGTAACAATGCATCACTTTCCATAAAATGTAACGTAATTAGTTGTAACTCAATATTGTAATGCATTACTTTTAAAAGTAACTTTCCCCAACATTGCCCATCTTAACATTAAACAAAAAAATCAAAATAATAATATGACTTTTCAAATTCTTCCATCATGAGGATGCCTTCTCTGGCATGGATTTGAAATATAAAAGACAAAGTCTCTTCTTTTTTATTACTTTATCTTATGTTTTATGTTTGGTTACATGAAACACATACTACATGCATAAAAGTATGATGTGAGCGGCACCTGATGGGCCTGATGGAGCAGCTCCATCCTCTCCTGCAGCACCTGACAGTCATATTCTCGGCTCTTACGCAGCATCTGTCTGCGCAGTTTCTCCACAGCTGCGCGTAACTCGTCCTTCTGCAGCTCGTCCAGGGGTTCTCCGTATTTGATGACTTTATCTTGCTGCAGTGCATTGTACAGGGTCGCCTCCAGCTCCTGGATTTGCTGTTACACACACACACACACACACACAACACACACACAAAAACACACACACACACACACACACAAAAACACACACAAACACACACACAAACACACACACAAACACACACACAAACACAAACACACGCACACGCACACGCACACGCACACACACACATACGCAAACACACACACACACACACAAAAAGTATTGCCAAAATACTTTTGGAAGCACATGAAAATCGAAGAGCAAATTGATGCCTACACTGCAAAAAAAAGAATGATTGTTCTGTACGCTGTAATGGATTATAAGATAATAAACAGGTAAGATATATGATTTCTTCTCAGATCTATATATTTTATGACCCTGTCTTGAATTTATGTGCCTGTACATCACAAGACTGTACATTATCCCTTAAATGTTTGTTTCGTTTGAACTTGTTTGTTGGTCTTGGCTCAAAGCTGCCTTCTAGGAATCAGTATTTTGTGTTTAATTGTTTACTTAAACTGCCGTTCAGAAGTTTGCGATCAGTAAGATGTCTTTTCTATTACTTTTTATCTATCCTTGCTGAATACAAGTATTAATTTATTTCAATAATAAAAAAATAAAAACTTTTGAACGGAAGTGGACATTGTTACAAAAGATTTCTAGGAAAAGCAGGTGACAAGTGTCTGGCAAATGCATTTTTGACAAAAGTGCTTTCTTTAAAGCTTTGTTGTAATTAAATAAACACAAAATTATTCTAAAATGTGTCAGGTAGTGTACAAATAATGTGTAAAAATAGGGCTTGTTGTTTGTACCATCTCGAGCTCCAGGTCCATCATCTTCTGATGCAGAGCTGCTTCTGTGCCTTCAATCTGCTGTATCCACTAAATCACAACACACATGCTGGTTACTGACAAACATCTGTCTACATCGCAAATAATCATTACGCTCCTTCACTATCAGAGTGAGAAAAGCATGTGAAGTAAATATAGTATATATTAGTACTGTGACACTTCTAAAGTCATGACTAGTGTTGCAGTCAAGAGACCACCTAAACTGAGACCAAGTCAAGACCAAGACCAGAATCTGTCGAGACCAAGACAAGACAAGACCAAGACCAGAATCTGTCGAGACCAAG